AAATAGGACGGTGTAGATAATATATTGTAAAATGCACTATTTATGAGGCTTAAAATCTTTTTATTTTTCATAGTCATAAATCTCGATGTCTAGATGATCAATCAAATGGTTTTTCAATGTTAAAACGCCCTTTTTCAATGGATTTTTGAGGGGCATCCGTAGTTCTACATTATAAGGTAGCATCCTTATATAAACCTTTTCCTATAAATTTTGTTGGAGGGAGATGATAAAAAACATACTCCCATGAGATTAAGAAAGATTTTAGCTTTAAACAATACCAACTAGGATAAGGAATAGGGATTACATACAATGAGACCATTTATCAATGAGGTAACAATTATTGACAACTGCCTCATATAAAATCATTTGATAGCTTGGGTGTGTTACAAAGTTCTAAAAAATTTATTTTGAAGTTTGAGTTTGGTCAATGGTATAAATGAAGCCATCTAATTTGACATCCAATTGTCAACATTAATTGTGACCACCTTATACCACGGATAAATATTATCATTATATATTTTTCGTAAAGAATAAAGAATAGCACTTAGGCGTGGCACATGGCTGTGCAAGAGAGAGAGCTCTTAAACTACATATTCCGCAATTATGGACTACGCATTCAACGAACTTATATAATCTAGGGCCATTATTGTAAAGAAAAGTTGTGTTTCAAAACTCAAATTCGTGAGGTGATCATCCACTCTACATATTCATGTCTTGGATTAGTTATTTGACTTAGTCATAATTAATGATCTTAAAAAATATTAAAATTAAAAAAAAACAACAATTAAAATAGGGATTTATATGGTTGGGGCTAAAAAAAGACATCAAATAATCTTAATAAAAAAATAAAAGGGACATTTAAGGTGGGATTGTTTTTTTTAAAAGAAAAAACAATTTAAATAGGGATTGAGAGGGTGAGGATTTAGAAGGCCTAAAAAAATACCTTGTATAATCGTAATAAAAAAGAAAAAAACAATTAAAAGGGGCTTTTAAAGGGAAATGTTGCGACTAACACCGTCTCATAACAAGCTTCGTCCCAGCCCATTCCTCATTCAGATCGGCCGTTTCGGGTCTAAGTCGCTAGGTTTTCAAACATTCAGGGCGTGTTTGTTTTTTTGAAAGTATTCTTTCATAAAGTATTCTTTCAGATTTTAAAAACGTTTCGCGTTTGTTTCACACTTTTCATGAAAAGTTCAAAAACTAATATTTCAACAAAAGTTCCTTTTACTTTGTTAAAAAGTGAAAGATTAAGTGACTAGAGGATACACTATTTACTATGCATAATATAAATACATAATATTAGTATTATTAATATGATCTAATATAATATAATATTACTATAACATAATATTATAATATTATATAATATATTTATATTTGTTTTAGAAAAAAGTTTATATAAGGTTGCATCCTTAAAATGTAAAAATATGGATGCACCTCCAAAATTCATCGGAGAAGATTGTTTTGATGTTGAAAAACCCTCTAGTTGATCATCTCGATATAAAGACGTATGAATATGACAAAAAAAGATTTTGAGTCCCGAAAATAGTGCATCTTATAACACATTATCTAGACCGTCTATTTTCAAGATTTTCATATGTGTTGTAGATCTACGTGATTTTAACTATTTTTGGAGTTTATAATTTTATAATTATATATAAAAAAATATTTTCAGATAATC